GCGTCGACCGCGTCCTGGTACAATTGCTCCCATTCGCCACGCTGGAAGGCTCGGAGACGAGCTTTGATTTTGGTCCAATCCGGACGGCGAGGCGAGGTCTGGCGAAGGGTTAGGCGCGGGAGAAATAGCAGCAGGCGCCATCCTGCCTCTGACTCGGGGTTTCGTGAGAGGTGTAGTAACGGCGTCAGCATCGCCAGTGAGAACAGCTGACACAAATTCGGCGGTAAGCGCCGCGACAGTGAAGGCTGGCGACTGTCGCACAGGACCGTGATATCCCAAGTACTGATTGCAGCGAACAGGTCTGCCCGCTTCGCGAGGTCGTCTGGCGAAAAATAGCGGGGGACCGAAGCGGCTGGGCGTGTTGCAGTCCCAATGTCTGTTGGCCGATTTCCTCTTGGGCGATTCCCTCGTGCCCTGGGAGCGGAGGTTGGAATCCCCTCCGTCCGTTCTGCATCGAGCGGTGGGCGTGTCTCCTGGGGCGTGTCCAAGCGTGCTTGCTCCCCCACTACAGTCAATCCGCCAGTGTTCCTTCTCGCCCTGCCTTCCTCTTCCTCCGTCTCTTCGCCCTCGCTAGCTGGTGCTGCCTCTTCTATATAAGAGGGATCCTGCCGCTCGTCTTCATCATTCGCTGTAGTCAAATTGGTTAAAGCCACTCTAGCCGCTGCCTGGTAACCATTCTCCGGGCCTCCGCCAACCCCGCTTGCCGTTTGCCGTTCCGTCCCTCGACTTCCCCGCGCTTGAGATGGTGATTCCTGGTGCTGACGAGCCGTCGCCAGAGCTCGCTGCCGCCTGGTCGGCTGTCGTCGCCAGGCCTCAGTCGGAGCCCGAAAGGGCGACCACTGCCTTGAAACCTCCTCTACCGCCGGCTCAGAAGCCCTCGTTAGCAGACGCTGAAAAGATTCATCCCCCCGCACCCGTGGCTCCCCAGGGGGGGGGGGGGCGGCTGGCCCGTCTGCTCCTGCTGAGGCTCCGCCTGTCTCGTCTGCTGCTCCTGCTCCAGCGCACCTGGCTCCTGCGGTTCCACCGGTGGTGTCCGCGCCTGCTGGGGAAGCAGCTGCTCGCTCCAGTCCCGTTGTTCGCGCACTCGTTGTGCCGTCTGCTTCGGTCCCCGGCGTGCCTGTGCCTGTGTCTGCTTCTTCCCCAAAGGCGGCGTCCGCCACCACTGACGACCCTGCTCCGATGGATGCTCCTCCTGGCGCCGACCCGGTAGCTCCCGCTCAGCCGCCGGCGGCCCCTGGGGTGCAGTCGTCTCGCCCCCCGTCGCCGGACCGCCGCCAATCCCGCCCCCATTCTCCTGCGCCCCAACAGGAGCGCGAGACGTCGCGGCGCCGGCGCAATTCTCCCCAGCGCTACCAGCAGCAGGCACAGTGGCCTGGCCCCCCTGGTGGCAATGGGGGCTGGAGAGGCCCCTACGGTCGAGGTGGTGGCGGGAGGTATCGTCCGCCTGTGACGATGGCGGATCTCCAGCGGGAGGTGTCGCGGGCTGTGCGCAAGGAGCGGGCGGCGCAGAGTCAAAGCAGTTCCCTGCGGGCCGCGCCAGCACTTGAGGCTCCCCGTCCCATTGAGCCTCCTGTAGCCCCTCCGCCTGTAGCTGCCGTCCTTCCTTCCGTCCTCGCCCCGTCTGCTCCGTCTCCTCCCGCCTCGGCGCCCGTTCCTGGTTCCCGTCTGCGGCTACCGCCTCTTCCGCCTGTTGCAGGGGTGGAGTTCGTGGCGGCGGGTGGTGTCGCGGGGTCGGCTCAATATGCAGCTGATGAGCCGCTCCAGTTCCTGGTGGAGGCGCTTCAGCCTCCGCACACTCGTGTTCCTCAGTCGACTCTCGGTCAGCTCCACCGTCTTGCCGAGAGTCTCCACGCTTTGCTGCTGATACAGGTCCTTGCCCATTCTTCGCTCCCTGTGGTCTCTCCAGAGACGTTCCGCGACCGTCCACGCGAGACTTGCTTGGATGCAGCGGACCAGCTCGCCGTGCTGCTGGCGCCTGTGCTGGCTGCGCCCGCGGAGGGAGGCGCTGCTGCTGTGGGACAGCTGGACGAGGCAGTCCGGAGCTTGAAGCGGCATTTGCGCGTTGGGTCTGGAGCCGCGGCGATCGGCGCAAGCACGCTTGTAGTCCGGGAGCTGTGGTGCTCCCTGACGGGCGTTCTTCACGCCCTTGGAGCTCACCGCATGTAGATGCGGGCTCCTGCTGCCCAATTGATGCCATTTGTTCCTAGTTCCGAGTAGGACCAGCCATTGCGTGTATGCGTGTCGTTGCTTATTGTTACTCGATTGTGTTTGCGTTTGCCACACCTCTCGCGCGGCCGAAGGCCGCGCCGTCGAGCGTCGGCCGCCGAAGGCGGCCGGCGCGAGCTAAAATTCCAGCCGCCAAACTAATGAAGAAGAGAATGGCCTTAGGAAGGCCTTAAATATGGCTGAAAGGCAAGGACAGAGGCTAGGGGCAGAGCACAGAGGCTATTCCTCTCTCTCTCTCTCGCTCTCTCTCACGAGCTAAAATTCCAGCCGCCAAACTAATGAAGAAGAGAACGGCCTTAGGAAGGCCTTAAATATGGCTGAAAGGCAAGGACAGAGGCTAGGGGCAGAGCACAGAGGCTATTCCTCTCTCTCTCTCTCTCTCTCTCTCTCTCTCTCTCTCTCTCTCTCTCTCTCTCTCTCTCTCTCTCTCTCTCTCTCTCTCTCTCGGCCTTCACTGTTCTGGATTCGCGCTCCATCTCATATTTGAGATCGTGTGTCGCTCTCACATCTCCTTTAACTCATTTGGTGTTGCCACTTCAGATATTTGCCCACCGATCTCAGGACCAGCCTGGGGATTCGGACCAGCACTTCTCCCCTCCGTGAATCCCGTGGCGTCTTCGCCAACACCCACCCTTCTACTCACCTCCATTGCCACGTGTGCTGCCGCTTGTGCCGGTCATCTCCCCCCCCCCCCCCCCGTTCTGATTTCTCAACTGCCTACTCTCGTTTATTTGCCATGGAATTCCCACTGCCTGTGTCTACTCCCCATCGCATGGCCGCCTTGGGATTCGCTCTCACGGTGAAGCATCTCGTGGGTCTCGCCGCGCCATCGCTAGCACCGTGTGCCGCTCATCCACCCAACAATTGTGCGGATACGGAGCCGCACTGAGTTTCGGTACAGCACTTCTCCAATCCGCGGATTTCACCTCATCAACGCCCCTCCGCACGCTTCGCCGAACCTCTGCGCCCGCGTGTGCTGCCTAGTGTGTCGCAATGTGAGTATTAGCGATGAGTGGAAGGCGGTTGGGGAGAAGAGATGGGACTTGGCAGTGGGGCATTGGGTATGAGTCTGCATTGATGCGGCTGATGCGTGGTGCCTCATCACTCCTCCCCGTTTTTATATCGCCTTAGATATTCCGAATTCCTTCAACATCCATGTGCTCCCCATTATCCTCCATGTTGCCTTCTCGTTTCCCCCGTCACTCGCTCCCAACCGTCTCCCCCTGCACCCCGCTCCCTACGGTTCCCCAATCTCTATGTTCTCCCCTTCGTATTTACTCAATGACAAGATTCTCCACATGATCGTCCACAATCATATGCGGGTGTGTGTGTAATTGTGTATGTGCGTGTGTGCACGTGTGTGTGTGTGGGTGGGTTGGTGTGTATGTCGGTTGTATTTGCAGGTACTCCAAGTCCTTCGTTGTGCATCTTCCATCCTCTGGCCCATATACTAACGCCATCACCTATTACGCCAACCCGCCAACACAACAATCGTGCGCTGCCCTCTCCATCATACATTCCTCACCTTCTCCCTCTTGTCCCATCTGCATCGCACTAATATCTCCTTATTTGTGCATCCAATCGATAGCCTCCTTCCTATATTATCTCAGTTCGTCGACGTGTGATTCTAGGGCCTTTCTGTGACTCATGCTTCCTGCGTGCATACCTCCCCTCTCGTACTTGATATTCAAACTCATGTGAACATTCCCCACCCCATCACCACCGCACACTTCCCCCGCCCGCACCACACCTCTCTCTTCCTGCCCCGATCTACATCTGCAACGGATTCTCTCGCGTTTTGTTTGTGTGCCGGTGTGCGTGCGAGTGCGTGTGTGTGCATGTGCGGGTGTGTGAGTGAGTGTGTGTGAGCGTTGGTGTTTGTGGAGCTGTGTGTGGGCATGTTTATGTGTACCCGGAGGTACTCCGGGGCCTTTGTCCACTATCCTGTCTCATATCCGCACTGAGTTTCGGTCCAGCACTTCTCCAATCCGCGGATTTCACCTCAACAACTCCCCTCCACACGCTTCGCCGAACCTCTGCACCCACGTGTGCTGCCTAGTGTGTCGCAGTGTGAGTATTAGCGATGAGTGGAAGGCGGATTAGAGGGGAAGAGAGGGGACTTGGGAGTGTCCATGGGAAAAGGAATGGGAGATGCTTATTTCTCTTGATTTGCGCATCCAATCCATAGCCTCTTCGCGACTTTCCCCCGTTCTTTGTCGTGGGACGCTACCCCAATGCTGTGATTCATGCATCCTGCTTCCACGCCTTTCTACGTCATCTGCGAAATGGTCGAACAATCCCATCGTCCAAAACCACCCGCCCTTCCTCCGACCCCCCACCCACACCTCTCTTCCTGCCCTCAAATTAATCTGTTAAAAAAATTTGAGCATTGTGTTTGTGCGTATGTGTCTGTGTGGGAGTGTGTGTGTGTGTGTCCATGTATGTGTGTGCATGTGTGTGCGTGTGAGCGGAAACTGTTTGCGTGTGTGTGTTTGTGTGATCCTGTGTGTGTCTCTGTGTGCGTGTGTGTGTGGGACTGTGCACATGTACCGCACATACCTCCACGGATTCTGCCTTTTTGCCTTTGATATCACAGAGCCGCTGTGTAACGTACTGTCTACATGGACAACAGGGCCGACTTCGAACGGCCAGCTGAGAGTGAAGGGTTAGACAACGACATCATAATTGCTGAAGATTCAGACACAGGTACTTCATTCGCGCTGGTAAACGATCGTACAGTTGGCTTGCAATAATGTAGCAGACATTCCATGGCCTTAATGTCGCGCATTGCGTATCACTCCCTGCCATGGACAGGAAGTGCAGAGAGGAGGAGGGAGGGAGAGGCAGAGGCGTGTGTGTGCCTCGATGCTGCTCCTAGTGGGGTTGAATTCAACCCCACTACACTCACCCAGCCCTCTCTCTACTCTCACGCCGCCCTTGTCTCCCTGCCATGGACAGGAAGAGCAAAGAGGAGGAGGGAGGGAGAGGCAGAGGCGTGTGTGTGCCTCCATTGTGCTCCTAGCGGGGTTGTATTCAACCCCATTACACTCACCCAGCCCTCTCTCAGCTCTCATGCCGCCCTTGTCTCCCTGCCATGGACAGGAAGTGCAGAGAGGAGGAGTGAGGGAGAGGCAGCGGCGTGTGTGTGCCTCGATTCTGCTCCTAGTGGGGTTGAATTCAACCCCACTACAGTCACCCAGCCCTCTCTCTGCTCTCACGCCGCCCTTGTCTCCCTGCCATGGACAGGAAGTGCAGAGAGGAGGAGGGAGGGAGAGGCAGAGGCGTGTGTGTGCCTCGATTCTGCTCCTAGTGGGGTTGAATTCAACCCCACTACACTCACCCAGCCCTCTCTCTGCTCTCACGCCGCCCTTGTCTCCCTGCCATGGACAGGAAGTGCAGAGAGGAGGAGGGAGGGAGAGGCAGAGGCGTGTGTGTGCCTCGATTCTGCTCCTAGTGGGGTTGAATTCAACCCCACTACACTCACCCAGCCCTCTCTCTGCTCTCACGCCACCCTTGTCTCCCTGCCATGGACAGGAAGTGCAGAGAGGAGGGAGGGAGAGGCAGAGGCGTGTGTGTGCCTCGATTCTGCTCCTAGTGGGGTTGAATTCAACCCCACTACACTCATCCAGCCCTCTCTCTGCTCTCACGCCACCCCTGTCTCCCTGCCATGGATAGGAAGTGCAGAGAGGAGGAGGGAGGGAGAGGCAGAGGCGTGTGTGAGCCTCGATTCTGCTCCTAGTGGGGTTGAATTCCACCCCACTACACTCACCCAGCCCTCTCTCTGCTCTCATGCCGCCCTTTTCTCCCTGCCATGGACAGGAAGTGCAGAGAGTAGGAGGGGGGGGCAGGTAGAGGTGTCCGTGCATTATATCCCTTCATCTGAAACCCGTCATTATGTCCCAACACTCATTCTTTTCTATTATATATTTCACATTCCAAATATCGCAGATATGGCTGGTGATCGCCCGTTCAAGTGCCCAGGTTGCCCAAAACGGCTTAGCACCTACGGAGCACTTGTCAGCCACGAGTGGAAGCACCGCAACACGTCTGCTGACGATGCGCTGTTTTTGCCCACCACTCGGACTTTTGGTGCTGGTCGGGGGATTCTGGTGGAGGAGCACGTACCTTATGTTTGAGTGGAATCTCCATTACTGCCACCGATGGAAGGGGTGAATGTGGTAGAGGATAGCGATGACTGTTGTGCCAACACATTACAGTGGCACGGTCATCGCACTCCCATTCAGCCTACAAGCCTGCTCAGCTTCTGGAATTTTGTGGGGAGGTTTTTCAACATGTGTTATTCAAACCCTCAAAGGTTCAGAGTTTTTAAAGCAGTTACCAAGGCATGACAACATTTTATGTTTCAAGACTTATGGCATTCTGGAAGTGTGTGTTACTCCTTTTTGGTAACACCCGAGTTCACCATTTCGGCTGCTGACTCGTCTACCAAGATCTGATTGGTCTGAAATTCGGTCTGGCAGTCCTTTGCCGCGCTTTGCAGATGGTCACCAAGTTTCAGAACGATTCAACATCTGAGCATTGCGTGACAGCTGCCGAAATTCACTGTTCCGTGGTTATGGTGCACTGTTGGCAGCATTTCCCTTGCCACCCTTTCATTGTTGTCATGCCAATGGTGCAGGGACAGAGAATGAGACAAGAAGTACAGTTGGTCAAGTGGGACTCTACAACCCTCCTTTTGAGAAGTGTGGTCTTCCTGGAAGCAGCTTGCAAGAGGGTGCAAGTGGGAAGACAAGCTGACTCATGTTGGCTTGACTCACTATTGGTAGCCTTGAGTACAGCTCTGAACATCCAAGTGTGGTTGGCTTTGCTGACCTAGCTAGGAGGTTTCCCATTCTTCTCTAGCCTTTCTCCCCTAGGACTCAACCTTCTCTGAGTTCCCAGGATGACCCAACTCCTTATGAGTCCCCTATGCAATGCTGTACATACCTCTTCCTTGCATCAATGAAACTACACGTTTTAAGCCGAGCTTACGTTTTCGTTCACTGCGTAGTGCACATACCTCTGATAATAGCAAATAATATACCTTTGGAAATCAGACACCTAAGGTTAACCGCTGTCCAAGTTTCAGTCTCGTATGTTTCCAGAGCTGATCGTGACAGCGTTTTGAACAGAGGCGGTTTGAAGACGTCAGATTCTGCTTGGGCGGTTTCATGGGCATCCGCGACCTCTAAGTGGACTCTTGGCTATAACAATGACGAGGGTGGGGGCCAACAGGAGGAGGAGTTTGTGTTTGTTGATGCTGACTGCCTATTTTGCTCATGAGGAGACAGAACCCGAGACTGTGTTTGACACGCGTTTTGAAACGTTCAGGTTTCTCTCCCTCTGTAATAGGGGTAGTAGGATGAGTGGACCTGATGTGGCACGGTTTTTCTGACTCGTGAAACATCCAGATTTTGACCGTGCGCAGTTGGACAAATGGAGTGGATAGCAAGCTGTAGATAAGTACGCGGAAGAGGAGTTTGGCATTGAGCAGACACACTCTAGGACTGCTGCCGTACGTGTGCCTGGATGGCACCGGACCTTCACAGTCAAATACTTGGATCCTATTGATGTATGGAGAGCTCTAGCTTAGTTTGTTGTCTAAGATATTGTAATAAAGTGTATATTTACTTCAACTTGTTATGTTTTTTATGTACAGGCCTTACGACGGATGTGGGCAGATCCAAGAAATAAGAACGGGTTCATTCACAAAGCCCTAAAAAGAAATATATGAACGAAATACGGGTCTATGGCGGAGTAGAAACAACAGATTTTTGGATTGAGTCACAGGTGATTTGCGCATATACGTAGCTAACATTATGCTCTACAATGCATCGAACATGTTTGAACTTTTCTTTTGTTCACAACAATGTCTTTAGTGTTTTTCCATTTATTTCTCTGCATCAATTGTGTATTGTAACTTCCTATTCCGTTTTATTAGACAGGGTGGACTTGGGCCAAAGGAATGCGTGTGCCCGATAATTCTCTCAAGCGATGAGACTCACCTCAGTGGAAATGGGCGTTGCCGCGCCTGGCCGTTGTACCTTTCTTTCGGCAATCTTCCCCTCAGCGTTCGGTGGAGCGAGCACGGACATGCACTCATAGCACTGCTTCCACTTCCAGACGCAGACATGTTATCGACACAGAAAACCATATTGTTCCAGAGATGCTGCGAGACTGTGCTGAAGGCGCTCGACTAGGCATGCAAGATGTAAGAAGTACTGTGCTTCTCGCTTTAGCTCGTCAGTGAACCATGGCTAATGCTGTATGGCGATATGAACTGTTTGCGTGCAGGTCGATTCCATTGACGGACCCATATGGGGAGTTTTATACTGTATGGCCCAAGCTGTTTTCGTACGTCGCTGATTTTCCAGAGACTTGCAGAGTGTCGTGCACCAAGCAGACGGGAGCCAAGAAACCCTACTCAATTTGTGAGGTGCAGGACATAGACTTGGACAACGTGGACCCGACATGTGCTGCCAAGTATCGCACGGTCGAGCAACAACGAACGTATGCCAACGACAAGGCGCTCGCCAAGGAGTACTCGACTCACATGACGAAGGTGAGGTGGCTACAAACACATGTGCATGATTTGGAACATTGGTGTGTGGTCGGTTTTCACGCCACAGGAACGCCCCTTTGTGTTTTTTTTGCATGTGTGCAGTGCTTTCTCTGGACGTTCGGTAAAAGGGAGGATCGAGCAGAACCATGGGGAAACCCCTATCGAATCTTTATGCCCGACATTTTGCAGGTCATATTGATTGGCATATGGGTCTACATACTGGAGGCTATCGTCATCGCGAATAAATGTGGAAAGAAGGCAAACGAGTAAGTGCATTTGTCATGGCGGGCTATACTGAGTGTGTGTGTGCTACGTGTGCAGAGGGCGTGTGCGTGTTGGTTGTACAGAGTGTTTGTGTGTCGGTTTGATGGTGGGCGTGTGTGGTGTTTGTGCCGTGTGTGTAAATGTGTTGGCTGTACGTCGTAGTATGTACTGGTACACACCCTAAACTGTAATGGTTCTTATCGGGAAATGTGTAACGAGCTCTGAAACAAACGCTTCTGTTGTGATTGAAACGTAGGTGAGGTTTCGGTTGTTGACGACGTACACCCAGCAACTGTGGCATTAACGGGGTGTGTGGTAATCTTTTGTCTTTGTACACACACCAGGCTGCACTTCGAGATGTATCGCGCCATATTGTTCGCCGGATCGAAAATACCGCCACCCGGTGGATATTTCAGTTTGGGGGCCAACTTCTCTGCTGCAGAACATGCTGCAATGATGAGGGTAAGCTAGGAGGGAAAGAGTGTGGGTCTGGGTGCTGAATGGCCAGAGTGTTTGAGTGTGGTGGACGTAGATAGTGTGAGTCTAAGTTGGTTGTCTAAGGTGAATACGTGTGCTGGTGGTACGGAGAGTGTGTGTACTGGTGTTTCTGAGTGTGTGTCTCTACTGGTTGTACTCAAATTGTTTGTGAAGTGGTTGTGTAGTGTCTGTGCATGCTGGTCAGAGCGAGTGTGTGTATGTGCTGGTTTTACCGAGTGTTTGTGTATGCTGGTTGTATTGATTGTGCGTGTACGCTGGTTATTTAGAGCGTGCGTGCATGATGCATGAAGAGTGTATGTGTGTGCTCGCATGTGGTGGAGAGAGTTTCCACCTCGTTAACATCGCACGTAATCCTGAACCCTCCCACACCTCTTTGTTTCTTTGTTTGTGCACATTTCAAACCACCCTTCCGTCGTGATGCAGGTTTCTGTGGTAATACTCGAGGGCCTCATTACGGACGCACACATGTGTGTGCTGCGTTTCTTCGTGAAATGGTTCGACACGTATTTTCGCGCATCAACATTCACAGAAGCGAAGTTGGCGGCTTACGTCAAGGAGACCGCCGAGTACGTATCAAGCATGCTTGTTTATGGTTGAGGTCATGTACGGAATGTGTGTGCTGAACCATATCCATGATGTGGTCTCTTTTGTACCTAAACCCACTGCCATCCCTCCAGATTGGTTGCGCTCTTACACACACATCTACCGCGCACAGGAGACGGATGGCATTTGCCGAAAATCCATTTGCTGATGCATTTTCCAGATTCCATTCGACGTGGAGGGGCTCCTAATGAGTACTGCACGGGCTTGTATGAGCATGCACACACCACCACATGCAAGCAACCATTCCGTGCATCAAACTTCCGCCAGTACGATGAAGCTATTTTGCGGAGTGTCCAACTGAGGAACATGCTCAGCCAACGAGAATCAGCTATTGGTGGATTGTCAACCTACGAGACGGCAGTAGTGAAGGTGAGGGTCGAACACTGTTGTCTGTATTTTTTTAGCATGGTTCTTACGCTTACACTTGCACACGTTGTCCACGCCTTTGACTATACAATTTGAAATGTGAACATGTTTTGACTGGTTTATACTACCACAGGCGGACCGTGTTCGTTCGAGCGTGCTAACAAAGACGTATGATACAGTGGACCTGCCTGTGGGGGACCCATCAAGAAGAGGGGCAGCAACTTGGCAGGGATATGTGGAGTGCCATGCAGATAGTATGCAGCACATTCACGCATGCATCGAAGAGCTAGGGCTATCAGCCAGTGCCATACATGTAAGTGATGTGTGTGCTTGTTGTACTCCGTACGTGTGTGTGTGTGTGCGTGTGTTTGTGATTTGTACATAGTGTATATGTTTGCGGGTTGTACAGAGTGTGTGGATGTGTGCTAGTTGTACAACATTTGTGTGCGAGCCACTTGTATAGAGTAAGTTTGTGCAGGTTGTACAAAGTGTATGTGTGTGTGGGGGGGGGGTGTGTGTGCGTGTGTATGTGTATGTGCTAGTTGCTGGCAGACTTTGTGTTTGGGATGGCATGTAAAGAGTGTGT